CAAAAAATAAAAAGGAAAAAAGAAAAGCGTGAGTCTCCTGATTGAAGTGGCTGCCTGAGTTCCTGTCATCATGGACCTTCAGAATCCAGGTTTAAAAAAAAAAAAAAAAAAGGATTTACAACCTTCCAGAGAGAAAATACCAGCCACACATGAAAGGATCTGGTATCAAAATGGCACGAGACATCCTTGATAGCCACACTGTAGGCTAAAAGACAATGAGAGGGTGTCTTTAAAATCTGAGGAGAAGCCATTGTCATTCTAGAATCCATGCCCAGTCACATGTAAGAATAAAAACTTTTATTTTTTTAAGATTTTAATTATTTATTTGAGAGAGAGAGAAAGAGAGTGAGCACAAGCAGGGAGGTCACTGAGGGAGAGGGAGAAGCCGATTCCCCTGCTGAGCAGAGAGCCCAATGCGGGGCTCAATCCCAGGACCTTGGGATCATGACCTGAGCCGAAGGTGGACGGATGCTCAACCAACTGAGCCACCCAAGCGCCTTGAAAGAAACCTTTTTAGACATGAGGGCTCCCCAGATTTTCCTTGCCATGTACTCTCTTTCAGGAAGAATGTGCTCCCCAGAACGAGGGTCAGGATGTTTAACACTAGTGACACAGCCTTCCCATCCCTGTCTTAGCTCAGAAATGTCTGCATTTCCAACGCAGGCTGGCAGGAGGCTTGCTTTCATCACCAAATGTGCCAGCTCTTTGCCTGTTGCCTCTTGACTCAATCCCCATCCTTCCTTATGCTCCATTGCTGGAGGCTGGAAGATGGGAAATGACATTTCCCCAGGCTCCCTTGGCAGCTGGCCTCTGGATAGATTCTGCTAATGGGAAGCACCACGGAGGGATCAAAAGTCAGGACGACAGCAAAGATCTTTCTTGTTCCTGGTGGAGCCGTCACTGGCTGGAGAGTCTGGGCTGGTCATTTCTTGCTTACATAGCCCAGTTCCCACAGTGCCTACCCCAACCTTGTTGATACGGCAGTTGTGTCAGTCTGTCTATAATATCATTTCTCCTTCTCGCCTCTCTCACCCCTCTCGCCCTAGAGGTCCTAACCTCTAGGTAGCTCCTCCGTCCCCTGTGTCATGCTCTAGCCCTTTTAACGTGTTTGTGACCACTGTCCTGTATTAAATGTTCTTAATTACTTATGAGTCCTGGTGTTTTCCTGACCGGATGGATAGCTCAGGCTGAGTGACGTTCCAGTGTCCTGTGGTTACACAATCTGGGACACATCGCCTCCAAGGCCACAGGGCAGGGGAGGCGTGAGGCAGAGATGGCCCACCAGCTCCTAAGTGCTTTGGCTTAGACATAGCCCAGGTCACTTCCTTTCATAGTCCCCTGGCCAAATTATTCATTTAACCACAGCTGAACTGTATGTAAGACTTGGAAATATAGGAGAAGTCTTGGAATATTTGGTGAGTGCTAAGTGTCTGTAGGAGGACTTCCGAAGGAGGGAGATGCAGTGTGAGGAAACAGAGGAACGCAGGAGAGAGAAAGAGCAGGAGACACCGAGTCCCAGACTGACAGAGAGCATTCCAGGGGGCAAACTGCCCAAATTGGGTCCATAGAAAGGAGGCTCCAGGAGGGATGTCTGGAAACAAAATGAAACAAAGAGATTTTCTGACGCATTTGCCCAGGTGGAAATTTGGGTTTATGGGCATTTAGAGAGACAAAGGAGAATGCAGAAAGATGTTTCAGGAGATTCTAAGACTGAATCAAAGCAAATTTTAAAAAGAAAAGAGAGAGAGAGAGCGCGCGCGAGCAACGAGGAGAGATTAATTTAGGAAGGATTAAGAGTTGTATAAGAAAGGAACTAATACAAATCCTTTTACTGGGCTCAGCAGGGAAAATATTTACAGAGATGTATTCACGGGAATGGTACAGGTGGATTTCCCCTCGACTGTGCTAGAACTGGAGAGGTGTGGTCCCGTCCGAGACTTCTGCAGCTGACTACCAAAGTTGGTTCAGATGCCCCAAAATAAGGGCATCACGCCCAGCAAGACTGCCCCCAGTGTCGAGTCTGGGAGTCCCCAGGCTAACTGGCTACAAAATCAGGGATTCCTTTGACCTACTACTCAGGTTGGGTCATTAACTACATCAACTCACAGAATTCAAGAAATTACTCTACTTACGAGTACTGTCTTACTGCAAAGGATACACAGCAGGACCAGCCATGGTCCCTGAAGAGAACCAAGGTCTAGGAAGAGTCCTGAATGTAGAATTTCCGTGTCTTCTTTCTGGAAAAGGAATGTCTGTTGCCAACCAGGACGCTCAGCTAAATCTTGGTGCCCATAGTTTTTCACTGGTGTTTCATTGCATAGGCATGATGGGTTGACTCATTGGCCATGTGACTGACCTCAATCTCTAGCCCCAGCAGTTGGGTTGATATCCCCTGGCTCAGAGCCCCAACCCTGTAATCATGTGGCTGGTCTTTCTAGTACCACCAGCCCCCATCCTGAAGCTAATCCAGCCACCTCGCCCCCTGAGTAACAAAGATGTTCCTATCCCTGGAGAAATTCCAAGGGTGTAGAAACTCCATCCCAGAAAACTGGATAAAGACCATAGAGATTATTGTAGGCAGGAAGAAGACGTGTATGTGTGGCTTAAAGGGTTGAATCTCCATCTCCCGGACTGGGATGTCCATAGATACTATGTAAGATGGAAAGAACAAATAATAGCATTATAAGCATATTATTTAAAATGGCAAAAAAAAAAAAGGCAGAAGAAACAGGAGGGGACTTGGAAGCAAGGAGAGGTTTTTATTGTTGTTAAAGCCTCCCAGAACAATTTGACTTGTTCAATTCAGTATGTGTATTGTCTGGACAAAAAAATTAAAGGGAGAGGGTTGCCTGGCTGGCTCAGTCAGTTGAGTGTCCAACTCTTGATTTCAGCTCAGGTTACTATCTTAATGTTGTGAGATTGAGTCCGTGTCGGGCTCAGCACTGGGTGTGGAGCCTGCTTGGGATTCTCTCTCTCCCTCTCCCTCTGCCCCTCCCCACCCCCTTTGCTCACTCTCATTCTCTCTCTCTCTTTTAAAAGATCTTATTTATTTCTTTGACAGAGAGAGAAAGAGAGGGACAGAGAGAGATCACAGCAGGCAGAGAAGAGAGGGGGAAGCAGGCTCTCTGCCGAGCAGAGAACCTGATTCAGGGCTCGATCCCAGGACCCTGGGATCATGACCTGAGCTGAAGGCAGAGGCTTAACCCACTGAACCACCCAGGTGCCCCAGCTCTTGTTCTCCTTCTTAAAAAAAAAAATTAAAGGAAGAAAGAGTTAGAAAAGGGGTGGCTGTTGTTTGTGGGGTGCTCAGTCTGGGTTATGGACAGGAGAAATACTCTTCAGGATAGAACTGTTGGTTTGGGAAGACAACTTATATAGGTTTTGATGATGTAGAGATGAGCAGCAAGCCCGGAGTCAGAGAAGAGGCAGACGGCGAGGAAGGGGGAACCAAGGGTGGCCCCTGTCATCGACCACCAGACAGCTGTCCAAAGCTGCCTAGAGGTAGAATAGCATGAGTGAGTCAATGATGCGGAGGTCCCTGGTGACATTAGGGGGAGCGGTCTGGGTGGAGTGAAGGGGCCGAGGCCAAGTTGGGGAAGAGGAAGGAGGGACAGGTAGATGGAGATACGGACAGAACAGCTATGGGGCATCTTTCCAGGCAGTCTGGCCAGCAAGGGCAGGAGAGAGAAGGGGTTGCTTGCTTTTAAGATGGGAAAGCTGGGAGAATGAGCTAAAGCCCTTGGAAAGAAGCCAGAAGAGAGAGAGGTTAAAGATCCAAGGAATGAGTGGATTCTCTGGATTGTCTCGGCAGGAGGTCTTGGTGGAGGAAGGAAGGCGGAGACAGCTCTGCTCCCAGCCCTCCCAGGGGAGGGAAGGTGCACAGCCCGCTGGCCAGAGAGGAGATGCTTGCTTATCCGTAAACCCTGGCTAGCAGAGTGCTGTCCCCATTCCACAGATGCAAGGAAATAATCTGCCTCATTACCCAACCAGAAGAAGCCATTGTGAATCCAGAATTTTCTGCTTCCAAAGCTAGGCTCTTGCTGCACTGGTTCTCCTGATGAAGCAGAGCCGGTTCTCGGGCATCTAGAGCATCCAGTCTGGGGGTGAGGAAGGTCTGGAGAAGTCCTCAACTCCACAGCCACAGTATCCAAAAACGGAACAAGGGGGCGGCCCTGCAAGCATGGAGACCCTAAAGAGGGAGGAGGACATGACCACACCGCCTCCCATGAGGCATTCCCATACTCTAGCCCAGGACCACTTCTCCAAGGCCAGATCTTGGGCTTTTTCAAGAGAATTGGAGTATCCCGATTTTAATGTGAACTCTCCAGCTTTCGGGTAGTGCAGCAAAGTGATGGGATATCAAGATGGTCAGGTAAGGCCTCCCTGAGGAGGAAACCCCTGATTCAGGCAGGGGTCAGCTTGGCCTGTCGCTGGAGGCCTCAGCACAGAGCTACTGGGCTGGGGACCTGGGGAGGGCTGCCGTTGGGGTGGTGGAGGAAGGCCTGACCCGTGGGGCTTGTGCACAGCGACAGTGAGCCCGGCTTACCCTTCACTTAAAGAGGGTGGCTCCCACCTCCCCATCTGGTCCTTTGGGGTCCCAGCCCACTGTTCAAGCACGCACAAACTCTGCCCCCGCCTCCACCTCCGTCCACCTGCCCTGTCTTCACCATCCCAGGCTCCAGGAGGAGGGGCTCAAGGGGCCAAGGGGGCGGCCTCTTTTGGGTCCAATGGTGGGGGAACGGATTGGGGCCTCCCCATTAGGTGAGTGTCCTCTAATGGAGTGCTAATGAACCCCAACCTGGCCCCGGGCCAGGGGCGCCCCGAGGCTGCACCGGGCCCCCGGGTGGGTAGGGGTGGCAGGGCCGGGCCGGGAGCCCTCTGGGTGAGCGGCCGGGCCGGGAAGGGTTAAGCCCACCGAGCTCGCGGCGGCCTAGAGCGGCGGCGGCGGCGGCGGCGCGGGGGCCGGGGCGCGGGGCGCGCGGGTGGCGGGCGGGGGACAGGATGCGGATGCCGGGGGGACTTCCTGTGCCGGCCCCGCCGCCCCCGCCCCCGGCCCGGCCCGCTGCCCGCTGCCCGCCGCCCGCCGGACGCAAGCTCGGGCGGGCGGGCGAGCCAACGGGACCCCGGCGCGGGTCGGCCCCCGCCCGCCGGCTCCGGGCACCTGTGGCCGCCGGCGGACCCCGGCCGGACCCGGGCTGATCCCCGGCTGGGCCGAGACCGGTGTCGCCCGGCACCCCCCGCGGCCCTCGCTCGGGACCCGCGCCCGGCCGGCCCTCGGCTCCCTCCCTGCACCCCTTCCCCGGGAGCCGACACCAACTTCAGCTCGCCAACTCCGCTCGGCCCCTTTTTGGGCCCAGGGCGACCTCCACCGCCCTGACCGCGACAGGCCGGCCGCAGTGCCCAGAAAGGCCCCCGGTGGCCCAGCGCCTCCCCGGCTCTTTCTGGATGGAGGCGCCTCAGGAGGGAGCTGGCTGACGCTCCGGCCCGCGCTCTCCAGCCGCTGCTGACCACACCTCCCCTGGAGAGGAGGCCGCTGCGAGGAGCCGGAGATGCTGCCCCAGGTGGGCCCGGCGGAGGCGGGTGGGGAAGCCGGGGGGGCGGGGGGAACTGCTCTCTGGAGGCCTTCTGGACTGGATTCTGGAAAGGGGAGCTGGAGTTAGGAGGGGAGGCAGGACTGGATGTGGCGACATCTCCGCAGGGGCCAGGGTGGAGGCAGGAGAGGGCTGAGGAACCTTCCAGACTTCAGGAGCCGGTGGGCCAAGGCTGCTTCCATGGGCTGTCGTCCTCTGAAACCTGCCTTCCCAGGGAGCTGTGGTGGCACCTGGAACCTGTGGCCCGCTGGTGGCCTTGGAAGGCTGGTGTGAACCCCAACAGTGGTTTGGGAGGCAAGAAACCAGGGAAGGGAGCACACTTGTCAGTGCTTTGAAGGGGGCGGTGGAACGGGAGATGTTTCTCTTTTTTCTGCAAACTTCCTCAGACGTCCCTGGTGGGACTCCGGCTCCCCAGCGAAGGCTGGTTCCCACAGTCGGATCTCAGCGAGGAGCAGGTGCACCAGCAGCCCCTCAGCCTGGGGCTGAGCGTGGGCCCTGCAAAGTCGGAGGAACTGCCTCTGCCCCGGGAAATGAATGGGTCCTGGGAGTTGAGCCTCCAGGCCGCCCTGCTCCTCCCTTCCCCAGCTGTGGATTGCACTGTCCTCCTTTCCAGGCTGGGTGGAGATGCCGGCTCTGGGGTTCACGGAGGAGATGGAGGGCTCTCTGGCAGTCGGTGTCCCTGGGGTGGGGACTCACCTGAACAGCTTCCTTCCTTCCTCTCAGCACAGTTGGCTCCCCGGGATCTTGGTCTGAACGCTAGGATGGAGGTGGGGGCCGCGACCGAGACCTTTGTGCTAGAGCTTCGGTGTCTTGAAGATGGGGGCCCGGGGCGGGGCACCCTCTCAGGTAAGGGGCTGGAGAGGGGTGTGGCTCTGACCTAAGCCGGGAGATAGCCCTCAGACCCCCCCTGAGGATCTTTTGCCAGAGCCCCAGGGGCTGCAGGGTCGGGGGCAGCCTGCTGTCTGCAAGGGGGCTCAGCTGGTGGTTTCCAGGTGGGGAGGGCTGGCGGCAGCCGCTCACGCCCCGCCCACTGCCTGGAACAACACTGGCAGGTTGGCCTTAGGATTTTCAGAGGTGGCTCTGTCAGGCTGTGGTTTTGCTGGTGACAGGCTCTTGACAGTGCAGACATTTCACAGTCCATGCCCTGGACCCCAGATGTGTGCTGGCTGGGAGCTGCTGCTGTGTCCCCAGTGGTCAGGTAGTCTCCACTGTCCTCCCACCTGTCCTGGGCTCCAGACTCATGTTCTCAGATTGAATTCAGGGGCTCTCTCCCACTGCCCCCTGTACCCCAGGCATTGGCCCCCCTGGCTTCTCTTTTTCCTGGGGCCTTCTCTGACCTTGTCCGCTCTTCCGGACCTTTGCTTCCATCCATCTTTCTCCCTTTTTGCCCAGAGGCAAATGTGGCCCTGTAGAACCTTCCAAGATGCCTTCTCCCCTGGGACCCACTCTGGTCCCAATTTCCCTCTCTGTCCTTTGAGGGCACTGAGTGAGGTCCAGGCCAGGGTTGAACAGCATGGAAAGAACCAAAGCAATTGGAGGGGTTGGGGGGGGGATGTGTGGATGAAATGAGGGGTCTTCCAGCTCAAATATTTAACCAACAACAGTCTTGCCAGGATATGCTTTGCGCCTCAGATGACAATAATATGTTTACTAAAACACCATTGTTAAAAATGCTGATGTGACTGCAAGAAGCCAGGACCGGCCACACGGCCAAGTGCTGTGCTAGAAATATGAGGACTGACACAGAGGTACAACCTGTCCCTGCTGTTCCCAGAGGTGGCGGGAGTGGCTCAGACCTGCTGGGGAGTGGGGGGGTGGATGGACAGGTTTGCGTGGCTGTCTTTGTCACCACGCGCCTACTCCTGGCTGGTGTGCGTATGTGAAAACTACTTGTCTGTTAGCCTAAGCAAACGTTATGAGGAATAGTTTCCTAAAAGGAAATTACTTACATGGAGATATCCCTTGGTTTTATTCTGTCAGTATACTCCTGGAAGAGTGGCCAGAAAGCAAAATGTTATAAATCGCACCCCTGCTTTCTGTTACAAAAATGAAAATATGAGGCGGTAGGAAGAATGATTGTTGAAGGCAGACTTGGGAATGGAGCAGGCCTCTTTGATTTTCTGGTAACACAGTATGAATGCTCAAAACGGGAAACGACATGTCTATTGGGCAGTGACATGTGACAACAGAGTGACGCGTAGGTGGCAGGAGTTACTGTACACCTGTACAGTGCTGGGCCACACCTGTCCCCCCTTGAGTCCTCACTGTGTCCCTGAGAAGGGTCGCTGTCCTTTTGCAGACAGGGACACTTGGTTTCCCAGAGGTTACGTGACTGGCCAGTCACTGGGCTGACGTAGGACTAAGGGGTTAGCCCTTTCTGTTCCAGACTAATAGTCTCAAACGTGTCCCATCTCTAGGCTCCTTCAAACAGGGCTAGCTGTGTCCTTGGCATTTCCCAACTGTTCGTCAGTTTGTGAGTGAATTTCCTAACCCACAGGCAGAGGGATTTGTCAGGCACATGCCGGGTTCTAGAGGCTAGGCCCTTCCTGCCTCACGCAGGGAGCTGGAAGTGTGGGTATCCTGAGGCTGTTACTGATGGGGCGGGACGGGGTGGGGGGGGGGTCTGGGGCTATAGGAGGCTGACAGCCACTAACTGGTAGAGTTAGGGCCTGACCTGAGAACTTTAGTGCTCTCTCTGACACTTCAGGGACTTTTAGAAAACATCTGTGGTAATACTTCCAAGTAACTTTAGAGAGATTCTTTAAATCTCTCTAAAGAGATGGGGCGCCTGGGTAGCTCAGTTGTTAAGCATCTGCCTTCAGCTCAAGTTATGATCCCAGAGTCCTGGGATCGAATCCCGCATCATGCTCTCTGCTTAGTGGGGAGCCTGCTTCTCCCTCTGCCTGCTGCTCTCCTGGTCATGCTTGCCCCCTCTCTCTCTCTGTCAAATAAATAAAACCTTTTTTTTTAATATATATTTTATTTATTTATTTGACAGACAGAGATCACAAGCAGGCAGAGAGGCAGGCAGAGAGAGAGGAGGAAGCAGGCTCTCCACCGAGCAGAGAGCCCGACTTGGGGCCCGATCCCAGAACCCTGGGATCATGACCCGAGCCGAAGGCAGAGGCCCAACCCACTGAACCACCCAGGCGCCCCAAATAAAGCCTTTTTAAAAAAGAGAGAGATTCTATATTATTTACGGAGAAGGCAAGTTTGCTTATTTAAGGCGTGACCCTAAGTGAGGTCAGAGTTCAGCATGGGCTTGTGGCTTAGCTGTCAGGGTGACTTGTTTGCTGATTCCCACTGGATGGTAATTAAGCTCAAGAGACTTCTCAGGGAATGGTATTGGGAGCCCCAGATGCCCAAGCTCTTGTCACTGCCAAGATCTAAGCATGGAGGCTGTGTGGAGGGAGGCCCAGAGGAGAGGTCGTCGAGCCAGAGTCTAGAGTGACGCGACCCGCAGATCTTCGGACACATTTCTAAGCCAACCCCACGCCTCTGGGCATTTCACTTTCTGCCCCGGTACCATGGCCAATTGACCTGGTCCCTTTGGGCCCCTGCTGAGAGCTCAACAATGTGTACTAGAGTGGCAGTACGTGGGGCAGGGTTAGCGGGGAGGCCATAGGGGTCTGACCCCAAGAGCTGCCTGTGGATCCTTCTCTCCTGGCTTCCTGCCATTTCCACTGCAGGTGGCAGCGGTGGGGTTGAGAGTCAAGAGGAGGAAGAGGCTCGGGAGAAGAATGGCAGCCCTCCACGGCCAATAGGCTCAGCCCGGATGGGGGCCAGGGGACTCGCCGATGAAGCACAGCCCGGACAGCAGGACCTGCAGCGACAACAGCCAGAGCGGCTGCAAGAGCAGCTACTGCAAAGCCCGCCGTCAGGACTGCAGCTGGAATTGCAGCAGCAGCAGCAAGCTGGGCAAGGCCGGCTGCCCCAACAAAACAAGGACCTGCCCGGAACACCCCAACCTGTGCCCCCTGGGCAGCTGAGATCACAGCTGGGGCTGATGCAACAGCAGGAACGAGCACAGGAGCAGCAAGAGCAGGAGCAACAACAGAAATGGTTACAGCAGCAAGAACAATTACAGCAGCAGCAGGAGCACCTGSAGCAGGAACAGTTACAGCAGCAGCARCMSCAGCACCTGCRGCAGGAACAGTTACAGCAGCAGCARCMSCAGCACCTGCRGCAGGAACARTTACAGCAGCAGCAGCAGCACCTGCAGCAGGAACAGTTACAGCAGCAGCAACCCCAGCACCTGCGGCAGGAACAGTTACAGCAGCAGCAACCCCAGCACCTGCAGCAGGAACAGTTACAGCAGCAGCAGCAGCACCTGCAGCAGGAACAGTTACAGCAGCAGCAGCAATACCAGTTGCAGCAGCTGCAGCAACAGCAGGAACAGCAGAAGCAGGAGCAGTTACAGATGCAGCACCTGCAGCAGCAGCAACAGTTAGAGCAGCAGCAGCTGCTGCAACAGCAAGAACAGTTGCAAGAGCAGCCACCGCCCCGTCCCCTGGAGCCAGAGGAGGAGGAAGAGGTGGAGCTGGAGCTCATGCCGGTGGACCTGGGGACAGAGCAGGAACTGGAGCGGCAGCGGCAGGAGCTAGAGCGGCAGCAGGAGCTGGAGAGACAACAGGAACAGCGGCAGCTGCAGCTCAAACTGCAGGAGCAGCTTCAGCAGCTGGAGCAGCAGCTGGAGCAGCAGCAGCAGCAGCTGGAGCAGCAGCAGCTGGAGGGGCAGCAGGAGGTGCAGCTGGAGCTGACCCCGGTGGAGCTGGGAGCCCCGCCGCAGGAGGTGCAGCTGGAGCTGACCCCCGTGCAGCCGGAGCTGCAGCTGGAGCTGGTGCCCGCCGCAGGGGGAGGCGGGCCCGCGGCCCCGGGGGCTCCAGCCGCGGTGGTGGTGGCCCCGCCGGGCTATGTGGTGCTGCAGGAGCTCATGGTGCTGCCGGCCGTGGCGGCGCCCGCCGTGGTGGCCATCCCGGGCCCCGCGGGCAGCGCGGCGCTGACTCCGGCCCGGCAGCGGCGGCGGCGGCGCGCGCGGGACCGGCCGACCATCTGCGGGGAGTGCGGCAAGGGCTTCAGCCGCAGCACGGACCTGGTGCGCCACCAGGCCACACACACGGGCGAGCGGCCGCACCGCTGCAGCGAATGTGGCAAGGGCTTCTCACAGCACTCCAACCTGGTGACGCACCAGCGCATCCACACGGGCGAGAAGCCCTACGCGTGCTCCTACTGCGCCAAGCGCTTCAGCGAGAGCTCGGCGCTCGTGCAGCACCAGCGCACGCACACCGGCGAGCGGCCCTACGCCTGCGGCGACTGCGGCAAGCGCTTCAGCGTCTCGTCCAACCTCCTGCGCCATCGGCGCACACACTCGGGCGAGCGGCCCTACGTGTGCGAGGACTGCGGCGAGCGCTTCCGCCACAAGGTGCAGATCCGGCGCCACGAGCGCCAGCTGCACGGCGCCGGCCGCTCGCGAGGCCTGGGCCTGCTCCGCAGCACGCGCGCCGCCACGGGCGGACCCCCGCGCTCTGAGCAGGCGGCGGGGGCCGCTGACAAGGCGCCATGACCGTGACCGGTGGAGACGGGCAGACGGGGGCGCGGGCTTGGGCCTGAAAGGGCGTGGGCTCCTCCCGCCTGCCCTGATCCGTGGCCACGGCTGGGCTCCCGGCTCTCTCCCTGCTCAGCAGAGGGGAGGCCACGTGCACACACACACGGCCCCTCGGAAACGCTCCAGGCGGGGGGAGAGGTGCTGGGGCCGAGTGGCACAGGTGTCGCACATCGGGATGAACGGCACACTGCACAAATCTGTGACTGGGTACCGATCCTCAATCCTCGAAGAGTCGGCCGGAGCCCTTCCCCCGGAAAACCGGACTTCGTGCAGGGGAGAGCCACGGGAGAAAACTGCCAGTGACACGTGTGACCACTGGCGACCTTGGACATGCCTCGGACACTAACCAGGGAATCAAATGTATGTGGTAAAACGCACACGGATAGGATTTGATCCTGGTGAAAATTTCTTCAAGGAAAAAAAAAAAATGGGGAGAAAAGGAAATTTATCTGCACTTTGTAGAAAACCGATCAAGGCATTAAATTGTCCTCAAAGGCATTTGCCTTGAAAGTACTTTCTAGAATGAGAATGCATCAGGGTGGATATCATCCCGATTGAAATGGTGTTCATAAGCACAGGGTCAGTGTCCACTGGGTCAATGCCAGGAAGCCCTTCCCCGGTGGAAGCTAACCCTTCCCTCCTGGGAAACCCAGGGTTTTAGCAAGTGTGGGAGGCAGGCTCTCGCCCTCTTTGCTGCCAAGGTCCCACGCCCACGGTGGCGTGTCCAGTGTCTTCTTGAGCAGGAGCCTGTGGTTGAAACAGAGGGCATTCCGAGAATGCTCTCCAAGGTCCAGCTTGGGGAAAGAGCTCTAAGATCTCTCCCCACCACCACCACCTCCCTGCAACCCTCCAGCTCTCGGCTTCTCTGTTGCTTATCCTGGGACTAAGCCTATGGGGTTGGGGCCTTGAGACCCAGGAGCGGGGTTCTCCTGGGCCAGGCTATGCAGGGCGCTGGCCTGAGCAGATCCTGCCTGGTCACTGGTGGGGTCAGAGGGGAAAATTGGGGGGACAAAGGTTGGAGGCAACATAAATGCTCTTTACAACGTTTACAAAATTGTCCGGGGGTCTTTATGAGCATAGGCAAGGTTAATGCCTGTGGGAAGGCAGGACGGTGGAGGAGGCTGCCTGCCCCTTCTGCCCCCAAGTGCTTCCTGCTCTTGACTTCCCATGTGTGGCTGCTTCCATCCTGCCCCTCTCTTTGCTCCCTGCTTCTCCTTTACTAACACAGCCTGCTACATTTTACAAATGTGTTGGTTAAGTGAGAAACAAAAATCGAACAATAAATTTAAATGAGGAAATGCGTTGTCTTGTCTCTGTGTTTTCATGGCTGGGTTTTGTGTCCTGCCCCCGGTTTCATTTCTATAGAAGAGTTTCCTGGTTGCCCTAGAGCAAAGGGACTTCATATTCAGTCCCATGCTCTGTGCTCCTCACCCCAGACTCCGCTGGCCTAGGATGTTGATTCTCTACCCACATCTTATGTGGATCCTTCTGCATCCCTGCTCCTACCAGCCTCCTCTGGCCCTTTCCTTGAGTAACATTCTGTAATCTGTGTCCGGGGAACCCAGGACAGGGGCCCACGTCCAGGTGGGTAGGCCAAGCATGTTGGAGGGTGAAGGCCCTGTGTTGGGTGGGGTTTGTCCCAGGTGCAAAGGAGGCAGCCCCCTGGTGTTGACAGGCATTGCTGAAGAGCTCACAGCCCAGTAGGAGAGACACATGTAAATGGTCATACAGTGGGATGGGGGCGGTGTAGGGGACAACAGAGCACCTGACTCCTACATGGGGGAGCCAAGGGGCCTCAAAGGAGAAGTTTTAGCTGGACCGTAAGGTGCTTGTAAGGTGAGGACAGGTGGGACTAGAGGGGAAGGCGATTCAGACAGAAGTCCCAGGGTACAATGGAGGAGAGCCAGAGAGGGCCTGATGTGATTCGAAATGGTGAGAGTTTCCTGATGGCTAGGCCACAGGTGTTACAGGAGACAGGTGGTGAAAGGAAAGGGAGAGATAGGGGCTAGATTTCGTGGAACCCGTTGGCCCCAGACTCCCAGATTCATCTTGTTTACTGCCCCGACTTCACCCCAGACCTTCTCAGCATCCCTGTCACCTTTGTTAGGCTTCTCCATTCCAACAGGCATCTAAGATTAGGCAGGCCTGCCCTCTGTGCCTGCCCCCCATCCCCAGTAACTCCTGATTCTGGAAGCCCAGCCAAGTGTGGTCCCATGAGTCAGGCTCTGTCTCCCATCCACCTGCCCCTGATCCCTGCCCCCATCACCCCATCACCCAACTCCCCCAACCTTGTTTTTGCCGCCTAACCACAAACCAGCTCGGTCTGCAGTCCTGGCTACTCTCCACCTCCATTCCTATCAGCAGTCTGGGCAGCAGAGACAGGAATAGGCACCTTCCTCCATGCCCAAGAGGGGTGGGAGCCACAGCACCTGAGCTGTCCCTCATTCCTGTACTTTTGCCTTGAACAAATGTCACAGCAGAACCTTGGTGCAGTCCATGGGGTGGCTTGGTCCAGAAGCTGCGCTGCTCACCCACCTGCCCCCAGCCAGAGTGCCTAGGGCCCATGTCCATACTCCCCACTGCAGCGTCCCTGCATCATGAGCCCCCATCTGTGCGGCTCGTCCCCATTTATAGCTCCCAGGGCCAGTGCATCCCAGACTTGGATTCCTGTGTCAGGAGTAGGGGATCCTGGTTGCAGAGACATCTGACAGGCCAGGCCCCAGGGCTGTGTAGCAGGGAGCTGGGGTCCTCATCTCCCTTGGCCCTGAGAAGGGCTCCCTGTCCACCTGCCAGTTGTAGTTCCACCCATGTCCAAGGGTTCTTTCTTGGACTTGAGTCAATGGCCCTCATGTTCACATCACCTGTGCCCTGCTTGTTGTGGGGGACCCTGCTTTTCAGTGTTTAGATCACTCCTCTAATTTATGTTAGTTAGGCCTGGCTAAATCATGTGTGTTGGGAGACATGAGCACTAAGAAATGACATTTTGTTTTTTTAAAGATTTTATTTATTTATTTGACAGAGAGAGAGAGAGAGAGAGAGAGAGAGCGCGCAAGACGGGAGAGCAGCAGGCAGAGGGAGAGAGAGAAGCAGGCTCCCCATGGAGCTGGGAGCCCGATGCAGGGCTCCATCCGAGGACCCTGGGATCATGACCCGAGCTGAAGGCAGCCACTTAACCAATGGAGCCACACAGGTACCCCCAGAAAAGAAGTTTCCTAATGGTTGGAAATTTTGTAAAGGGTCCAGACTCAAGGCTGGCTCATCAAGTGAAAAATTACAATGTGAATTTTTTTAAAAGCTCACAAAATTACCAAGAGTGCTATCAGTCTTAATTTTTCATATAATGATAGTATCCACAAGGGTTTGCAAAAGATAAGGATCATGTTTTTGTGAGGGGGTCAGGAGAGGGCTCTAGGGTTTATGTACTTTAGGGACTAGTGCTAGACAGAGGGACCTGGTGTGAAATCTTTCCTGCCCCTCGGTGATGTGTTCGTCACCATAATGACAGTAGAGCAGGGTGTCATGTTGCTTTCTTAGCGATTAGGCAAATATCTCTTTGGGCTGGCCCTTGGGCTGTATTTGTGTCATATCAGGAGCTGGCTGGCTAAGCCCTGGATTCTCTAAAATGGAAAATCCCCAGGGAAGGAGATAAAATCAAATCTATAAAACAGAAAAGAGCTGGACTCTTATTATTGGTCTTTGCTTCCTTTCAGTCAGCTTGGTATCTTTTAGGAAATACCCGTGTCTCTCCAGGGGGACTTGGGGATTGGAATTCCAGCCACCAGTTACTATGTGGTAATTTTCCTTGCCTGCAAAATGGGAGCAAGAGTGTCCATAGTTCTGGGTTATTGTGTATCAAACACAATAGGCGAAATAGTACAGGCAAAGGGGCAAAAGGGCCCAGCACACATTAGGCCCTTTGAATATGTTCGTTGCTTCTAAAGCAAGAGTCAAACACAAATTCCTTCCTCTGGTTGGATTTTCCAAGGTAAGGCTTCCTACTATTCCAATGTTAAAAAATGTAGACATTGTAGAAATGAATTGTGAGCACCCCAGATGGTAGCAGGACATAGTTATGACCTTAGGAGCCTCCCCTGCAGGTAGGATCTGGTAGGGTCCCCAGCCTCCACCCAGGCTTCTCTCTAGGACCTGAGGACTCATTGGTCTCTGAGACTTGTGTGTTACAAAAATCTAAAGCTCAGGAAGACCACACAGAGCTCTTAATTCCCGGCCAAGCCTGCATCTTTTGATTCCTCCTTTCAGTGGCTGGCAGCACCATCTACCTGGGGACATGGAGACTCAAGCCCAGGAGTCCTTCTAGATGTCTCCTGCTTTATCTAATGCCCTCTGCTTCTGCTAATGATTGTTGTGCAATGGTGACTAAAAACAGCATATTATTTCTCATGTCTCTGCAGTTACCTGGGCTCAGCTGGGAGATTCTTCTGCTCCGTGTGATGTCATCTGATGGTTCGGTGGGGTGAGACGTAGGTTGATCATGAGGCTGGTAGTTAATACTGGTGGTCAGCTGGGAGCTCAGTGGGGCTGTCCCCCAGAGCAGCTCCACATAATCTCTCTCTTTGATGTGCGTATCTCTCAGTAGAGTCTGGGTCCCAAGAGACCTGGGCTTGGGATCTGTAAGGCTTCTTATGATCTAGCCTTTGAAGTAGTGGAGTGTCACTTATGTCAAAAGCTAATTATAAAATGAAATCGCTGTCCCAGCCCAGATCGAGGGGTCATAGTATCGAGCCCCACATCGGGCTCTGAGCTGGGCATGGAGCCTGCTTGGGATTTTCTCTCACCCTCTGCCCCTTCCCCACAAAAAAAGATAGAAGGCAGCTGTAAAAATAAATGCAGTGGAAACAAAATGCTGTGGTTAAAATACGGCGAGCCCCATTTGTCTGGTGGAAGTTCCGAATTCAAGGCTTGCCCTGTCTTTGTCTAAAGGGTGATGAGTGAATATGGGAGACGTGTTGGAG